AAATAAAACAAAATAATACAACTGGAAAGATGACTTAATAGTTCTTGTACTGCTCTTGCATAAAACCCATGTTCAGTTCCCAACACCTATGTCAGGCCACTTACCACTGATTGTAACTCCAGCTCCCGAAACATGACACATCCCCAGACACTGCTCTCACCACACAAACCCACATTCATACACAAGAAAACAATTGAAAAGTACGTGTGTAAAGACATCTTCTAGGATCAGCACCAGCAGTGGCTTGGTGGTTGTGGTTTCCATATAAGAGGCCTTAGTGGATGACTCTGATGTGGTAGAGCCCACCTCCTCAAAAGGATTTTCTGCATCAGCAGTCACTGGCCCAGTTGGATCAGAGTCCACCTAGATGAAATATCTCTAGGCAGTTGTTTAATTTTTTTCAATTCATGGCATCATTCTAGGCCACTTCCTCTTCTTTCTTCTTCTACAGAGAAAGAAAAAAAAATATTTAGACTTATAGTTCAAATATCAGAAGAAAAGGCCTTCTCAGTCCAAAGTGTAGTTCTGCTCTGGTCTGATTTCCTAGCACAAAATTCATGCTTCTCTGGATCCTCCTAAAGCCATGGGACGCAGTTACCATACCCTTGCTGATTGCCATATAACTGTCTATGTTTAGGAACAGCAAAGTCTCAGCCTTCTGAGGACCCCTTGTACTTTTGTGTTTGTGTTTGTCATACATATTGGTGCCTTTGTGCACTTGAGTAGAACTTAGCCATTAACTATAGGTGTTGATCTTCAGCTGTGATCCACACTAGTTTTTGTGGAAAAGAGTCTTTTATTGGGGTCAAAATTCATCACTTTGGTGGGGCTGGCTGGCTAGCAGGCCCCAGGGATCAGCCTGTCTCTGTCTCCCAGTGCTGGGATTACAAGTGTGCACTATCCTGTCTGGGTCGTCGTCGTCGTCATCATCATCATCATCATCATCATGATGTGTTTGGGTTCTGGGGCTAGAGCTCAGATCCTCATGCTTGTCTGGAAAGCACTTTATGGACTGAGGATCTCTCAAGCCTATACTCTTTTTCCTTTTTTCTTTTTTGCTGAAATTTTGATGTACCTTCAGCGTCTGCATCTCATAACCAATCATTTTCAGCTCCGTTCTATAGCTGTGCCAACATGTATATTTTGTACCCCAAACAAGTCTAAATAGTAAACCTGCTGATTGGCAGTCTCTACAAATTTGAACCAAAAAATAAAGCCTCTACATTTTTTTTCTGAGAAAAAAAGCTACATGTACACACACATAAACAAAACGAGATAAAAGCCCATGTAATTCTAGAGTTAGATTGACATTTGAGTTTAATGGTTTTTTTGAGGATCATAGTTATAGGTAGTGAGTATATTCTTTCAAATCACATATTAAATGCTGTATCTTTCATCCTTGTAAAATTGACTGTATGATTGCATGTTATTGACTTGATAATTGATTTAGTAACATTATTTATAAATGAGGTCTAGTATATACAGTAACATTTATAGATCTTTATTGAACAGTTTACTCTTTTGAGGGATATGTATAAAACTATGAAACCTATGCTTCAAGTGTCAAGATTTCTGTAACATTAACAATTTTCTCATTTTTCTATTCAATTTCCCTGACACTACTCTCAAAAACAACTACTCACTATTCTAGAACTTCATAGAAATGTAATTAGATAGTATGTGGCAGGAAGAATTCTTTCTTAAAACTGATACTGAGGTTTCATCTCTGGAATTTTGAATCTTGTACATAAATTTTTGCTTTCCATTTCCCTTTTTCATTTTTTAGAGTACAATTATAATTATTATTTTAATATCTTTCTAATTGAGTAACATTTCAGTCAATGTAAATGGCTTGATTTTTCTTCCTCTTTTTACTATTTAAGCAGTCTTTAATGAAAGTGACGTATGACACACTCCTACTCCTGCGTCTTCACAATCATCTCCTCCTTGTAATTGCCCTTCTCCTTTCTTACTTGTCAAGACTTGGCTTTCCTTTCCAGGATCTTTTGGCGGTCTTCGTCCAGCTTTAGCTTGGTGATAACCACCTTGCTGGGGTGGATGCCCACATGGACAGTTGTGCCATTAGCCTTTTCTCAAGGCACTCATTCAATGTAGATGATGTATTTCTTCCTGGACACTTGGACCACTTTGCCAATCTGCTGGCATTTGTTGTGTCCTCGGACAACCTGAACCTCGTCATTCTTTCTAATGGACATAGATGGGACATTGTACTTCTGTCTCAGCTCTTTGGAAAGGGGGAAAACATGATCTTCCTCCAAATGTGAGAAGGTGCATTGAAATGCCATTTGTGGTTCTTACTTTGGTCAGAGTCATGAAGGGATTGAACTTCCGTTTTGGCAGCTGCGATCCAGCAGTGGCCGCAAAAGGAAAGAGCAATTTTTCTTCTTGTTAAGGATCACATTGTGAGTTTTGCAACTCTGGGGAAAGGTATCCTGACTACTTGGGAAGTCAGGTGACACCTTGAGCTGTTAAGACAGCTCTGACAGCTGGAGCTGCAATGAGACAGCTCAGCCCTGGAAGGGAAGGTATGGAGAGTCAGGCCTGGAGCTGCTAGGACATCTCAGCAGGGAGGGGAAGGTATTCTGACTGCTCCGGAGAGTCAGGCTGTGCCTGGTGTGGTGGGGGATGGTCTCCCTGCAGGATATAGCAGTCCTGCCCCTCTCCTGGAGAGCCGCTACAGCTGAGCTTTGCTCAGCCCCCACTTAAGGGGCTTCCTAGCAGAGCTCTGCTTCTTCTCTGGCCTGAGATGTTGCTTCTTTTGCTTTACTCTGCAAAAGGGGAAACCCCTGCAGAAATGTAGCAATCTCCTCCAGCTCTGGAGAAAAGTGTTATTTTTTCAGCTCTCCCTTGCTCTGTCCACTATGAAGCGTCTCATCAAGGATCTTCTGTTTAGCTCCTCTTTGCTCTGTCCACTATGGGAGGTCTCAGCAAGGATCTTCTCTGCGCCAGTGAATGAAGATCTTCACACCCAAAACTCTTTTGTGAAAGAGATGTATTTGGGAAGTAGGAGCCCAGGAGAGTAGCTGCCTCTACCAGGGTGGAGAGAACAGCCCCCAACTGACAGGCAGGGTGGTTATATAGGATGTCTTGGGGACAGAGTCAACCAGGGATTGGTCAGTTTTGTGGGCTAGGGGCAGAGATGGCCCTGATTTCAGAGCCAAACTGTGTTTCTTTCACTGGCCTTTGTTAACTTTCTGACACTAATTCTAAGGCCAGGGCATATTTCTTTCACTGGCTCTGATTCTAGGGACCAAGAGTGTTTCTTTGGTACTGGTTTCAGAGTGAGGGCATGTTTCCTTGGTTCTGGGTTTGGGGATAAAGTGTTTCTTTCTCTGGCTCAGGTCCCAAACCCAAGCTGTGTTTGTTTCCCTGGTTCCAGGCTCCAGGGCCAGGGTGCTACTTTCCTGCTCTGTGATTGGTTGGTTTCACTGGTCATTTGGCCAGGGGCAGAGATGGCTCTGATCTCTGAGCCAAACTGTTTCTTTAGCCAGCCATTTTTCCCTACACACTTATTCCTTCTTCTTTTTATTTCTCTTTTTATAATTGTGATTTTTTTCTGGTTGGTTGAAGTATCTTTTTTCCCCCTCCCAATTAATATTCTGTATGCTATGGTTTTCTGGTAATGTTCCAGAACTTGGTTCTTGAAACAGGTTGATTCTTTTAGCCCTTTCAAAATCAGTAGACTCAAACAGTACTCACTTGGAGGGTAATTATTCTTGACTACTGAGGCAAGTTCATCTGTGTACTTAGCGGCCTGTGCAACATAGAGTTCAGTTCCTGACTTTTGGGCACTGACATCATTACTAACCTTACCTTTAATCATTTCAGGTGGTTCTATCCTTGGTCTTGGGTTGTTTTCACATATAAAAGTATTGATTAGTGCTAATCCAAATACGCAAAGGAAGCCTTTTCTAGGTCTCCAGATTTCTTCTGTTATGCTTCCCTGTTATTTGGTCACTAGTTACTTTGGTTGCCGTGAACTTTCTCCTCCTATGTTCAGCTAAAGGAGTCTAGCAAGTTTCACCTGGGTTCCCCCTCTCTGTGTCACAGCACAGAAACTAGTAATACCTTGAGACAGTAAGCTGAGGCAGGTATAAGTTACCTACTTCTTTTGTTTCTTACCACGTCTTAAAAACTGTTGTCAGTCTGGTTTTTTTTTTTTTTTTGCTTTAGATGCAGATATTATGTACTCTATATTGGCCACAGACATCTGTCTATAACAACTCTGGTTATTTTCTGTTTCTGTGCCATAGTCAAGCATATCAAAAGGCTAAAGGATATTTTACAAGATGAAATGCAAGAAAATTACTTGAATAAGTAACAGGAATTCTCAGAGGGGTTGGGGATTTAGCTCAGTGGTAGAGCGCTTGCCTAGCAAGCGCAAGGCCTTGGTTTTGGTCCTTAGCTCCAGGAAAAAAAAAAAAAAAAAAAAAAGAATTCTCAGAACAAAATCGTCCTTAGAGGGGTACATTAATTGCTAAATGAAATTGAAGTCCTTGTTTAATAACATAATTGTTTATAATTTAGAACATAGGTGATCCTTGGTTTTTCTTCTGTGTGGCTTTTTTTTTTTTTTTGAGACAGGGTTTCTCTGTGTAGCTTTGGCTGTCCTAGATCTTGCTCTTTAGACCAGGCTGGCCTTGAATTCACAGAGATCTGCCTGTCTCTGCCTCCCGAGTACTGGGATCAAAGGTGTGTGCCACCACCACCTGGCTGACCTAGCTTTTTATACTTTGAATGGATATAACAATAATCTATAACTTGAAAAAGGATCTCTACCTTAAGGTACAAATAAAAAGAGGTGTAGAAAATAATATTCAGTGTTGTGTTGAGTTTGTCTTCATCATTTTCCTAACTTACCAGATGAGATTCTTGCTAAATTGTCCAGAAATGTGAACTGATGTTTACTGAGTTGTAGTTCAGTCATGCTGTTATATGTTTATTTGATTTTAAGTTTTTCCCATGTATAATTCCTACAGACATCACAGCGATTTTCTTCAGTTGATGAGCAAACAAAGCTCCATAAGGCTATGTCTCAAGGAGAGATTACAAAATTGGCAGTAAGACAGAAGTCTTCCGATTTGGACATCAGGTATGATGTATATAAAGAAATAATAGGAGTGTGGTGATACTGTGTTCCCCTATATATTGTGCACCCTAATAAACTTATCTGGGGTCAGAGAACAGAACAGCCACTAGATATAGAGGCCAGAAAATGGTGGCACACACCTTTAATCCTAGCATTCCAAAGGCACAGATCCGTGTGGATCTCTTTGAGTTCAAAGCCACACTGGAAATAGCCAGGCATGGTGACACACCCCTTTAATTCCAGGAAGTGATGGCAGTAAGCAGAAAGGTATATAAGGCGTGAGGACCAGGAACTAGAGCCTGGTTAAGCTTTTTTTAGGCTTCTAGCAGCAGTTCAGCTGACATCCATTTGGATGAGGACACCGAGGCTTCCGGTTTTAGGAAACAGGATCAGCTGAGAAGTTGGCGAGGTGAGGTTAGAAGTGGCCTGTTCTGTTTCTCTGATCTTTCAGTGTTCACCCCAATACCTGGTTCCTGGGTTTATTTTAATTAATAAGACCTTTTAAGATTCGTGCTACAATAGGAGTAATTAATTTCGATGATTTTATTTAATGATTTATATACTGAGTTTTTAAATTGAAGCAATTTGCTTTTTAAGAAAAAGTATTTTACAGTCTAGGTCTTTTATTTCTCTTTGTACACTAAGCCATGAATTCCTAGGACACAGGCTCCCTCAACTAACCTTTCTGTTAGTTCTCATACACTGTGCTTCTCTTGGTAGAGCAGGTGGTGCTTCAGTTGGCTTCCTTTTTTTTTCCCTCATCATTTCCCCTCACCTGTTTCAGGAAGCTTTCTCCTAAAGGGTTTAATAGGCTCAATCCTCAGATCAGCTCTCTTTGCAAGAATCTGGTCCTTATCTTACTTGTTTACAGTGATGTCCATGGCATGCTAGATGATACATACTCTTCCTGTTTTACCATGACAACTTTGTGAGGCATTTCTTTTTGAATGGTGCTTATTCCTTCTATGTCTCCATTATTACCCTTTATAGATTCACATGTATGTGACCAAAAGAACACCTCCATGTTTCCTTAAAGGCCTAGAGAACACATAGCAGGTGCTGTTCTTCTTTTCCTCTGTGTTTGTCATTTAGCAAGGTACTGGAAGATGGCTGCTGTAGCCCAAAGGCTTTTGCTTTAAGAACTACTTGAGTAACAGTATTACTAGGTATATAATAGTTCATATATATGTGTGTGTGTGTATATATATATATGTATATATACACACATACATATACATACACACACACAGAGCTTTATCTTCTTATGTGGATAGCAGTAAGATTTGGGGGAAATTTCTTTTTTTATAATTTATTTAGCGTGCATTGGTGTGAAGGTGTGAGATTCCCCCAGAACTGGAGTTACAGACAGTTGTGAGCTGCCATGTGGGTTGTGGGAATTGAACCCGGGTTCTCTGGAAGTGCAGTCAGTGCTCTTAACCGATGAGCCATCTCTCCAGCCCCTGGGGGACATTTCTTAATCATTATATGACTTACAATAATATATTATAAAAGGAGAGAGATTAGATAGGATGAAATTGATCTCATAGCTTTTGACTTGTAATATGTTCTACAGTAAGTGTTTAGGAAAATACTTTGAAAAAAATAATTTTGTTCTCTTTACAAGTGCTTGTGGGGAGCTAAGGTGAAGCTGCAGCAAGTCTGTTCTGGAAGAATGAGGACCTGAATTAAAATACATACCCCACAAAGAAAGTCTGGGGCTGAAGAGATGGCTTAGCAGTTACGAGCACTTACTGCTTTTGCAGAGGACCTGTCTTCAGTTCCCAATACCCACAAGGTGGCTCACAGTTATTTTGCTTCAGTTCCAGAGCCCTCTTCTCACTCCCAAGGACACTAGACATTCTGGTAGTGCACATACATAAATGGCAGGCTTTTAAAACACTCATACACAGTATATATGGGATGATCATGGTCACAGCGGTAACCTGGCACTGTGGAGGGATCAGAGACCAAAGCATCACTGGGACTTGCTAGTCTCTAGCTTAGGCTCCAAGTTCAAGGAATAAGACAGGAAGTGGTAGAGCAGGATACCTGATATCCTCCTTTGGCCTCTGGTACACATAGGGATGTCATCAGCATGCACAGTTGTGTGCATACACCCAAACACACACACACACAAAGAGAGTTCATGGGATTTTTATTTTTAAATAAATATCTTTTAAAATATTATATAAGCATTTGAGCCCTGACTGAAGATGTCAAGGTATGTTAAAAAAAAAAAAAAATCTTTATTTCTTAATTATAGACAACTTTTTTTTTTTTTTGGTTTTTCGAGACAGGGTTTCTCTGTGTAGCTTTGCGCCTTTCCTGGGACTCACTTGGTAGCCCAGGCTGGCCTTGAACTCACAGAGGTCCGCCTGGCTCTGCCTCCCGAGTGCTGGGATTAAAGGCGTGCGCCACCACTGCCTGGCTAGACAACTTTTTATATAGACTGTAGAGGGATTTACAAGGGACTTAAATCCAGAAAAGATTATACCACAAATCAGAATTGAAAAAGTAGATACAATAGGCTAAAGGACATATAATTAGAGGTAGTTAAATATATAAATTTAATTTTCATTTTATTTGCCCCAATAACCAAACCCACAAATGATAAAAAAAAAAAACCAGACAAAAATCAAACACATAAATGTCTTAATAGTTGATAAAAAGCTGAATACTAACCAAGTAGGTAAACCTGAGAAAGACACATGTAGACCAACTAACCCTCTCTATTCTTAGCAGAAAATAATAAACTTATTTTCTGGAAAAGATAAAATAGAAGATCTCTAGATTTAAGTTTACCTAATACATATTTCCTGGAACTCACTCTGTAGACCAGCCTGGCCTTGAATTCAGAGATCTGCTTGCCTCTTCCTCCTGAGTGCTGGGATTAAAGGTGTATGTCACCACCAACCGGCAAGTTTGCCCAACATTTTTAAGTTGTGGGCCATGTATTGGGTTTATTTTTTTCGATGTGTGTGTGTGTGTGTGTGTGTGTGTGTGTGTGTGTGTGTGTGTGTGTGTGTGTGTAGATGTGAATGCATGAATGTACAGGATTATGTGTTTGAGTGCAGGTGTATATACGTGGAGGCCAGATGCTAGCCACTGTGTTTTTGTGATAGGTCTCTTACTGAGATCTTGGGCTTGCTGGTTTGGCTAGGCTGACTGGCCAGCAGCTAGCCTCAGGAATCAATCTGTCTCCACCTCCCTAGTACTGGAGCTATAAGCCTGCCTTATCATACCCATGGGTTCTGGGGATTGAACCAGGTTGTTATGCTTGTGCAACAAGTACTTTATTAACCTACCCCCTATATTTATTTTTTTAATGAATTTTACACATTAAATGCTTAAATTCCTCAGCGTTTTTCCTTTGCTCAGTTGCAACATTTCTCATACTCTTTGAGCAGATAGTTCACAGAATCTTTGGGACTTTGTTCATCTCTTGAGGAAAGATCAGATCTCCTTGCAAAATTGACCAGCCAGATAACCCTATAAGGAAGACAGTAGTTTAGGAGCTCTGCTAGTACACACTAGAGCTTCCAAGCAACACTTTAAACTTAACACTTCATCATAATCAGATATTAGTGATCACCATACATTTGAGAAAACACTATATTGAAGGAGCCAGAACGAACCAATAAAAATATAACATCAAGGAAGGTAGAAAATTCCAAAACCAATAAATACAATTAATAATGAAATGACTATATAATAAATATAACTGAAACCAAAGTATATTAAAGAGAAACATTCATAATAAAAATAATTTTGGAAAATTAAAAATGATGATAATGGGGTTATGGGTAACAGCTTATTAGATACAGCAAGCATGAGGACCTGAGTTCAGATCCATTGCACCCACATAAAAATCTTGGTATGCCGGTGGTAGGGGAAGAGGCAGGTAGATCCCTTGAGATTACCGCCCAGCCAGGTTAGCTAGATTGGAAAACTTCAAGTTCGGTGAGATACTTCATTTCAGGAAGCTGGAGAGTGACTGAGAACACTTGGCACCACACACGTACATACACCAATACCAGTAAGAGTAATGAGAGGGAAGACAGGTGAGGAATAGATCTCAGACAGTTGTACAAAAAGAAACATAGATGGCTGAGATAAGGAAATTCTAGAACCAGTTTAAAAGATCAGTTACCCGATATGAAGAAAAACATGTAGAGGAGCAAACTATTACTAAAATAATTCCGGCTGGATGTGGTGACGCATACTTGTAATCACAACGTTCAGGAGGTGGAAGGAAAAGGATTTAAAGTTGGAGGTCACCCTGGACAACACAGTAAGACTGCCTCAAAAAAAAGGGGGGGGCGCTGGAGAGATGGTTAAGAGCACTGGCTGCTCTTCCAGAGGTTCTGAGTTCAATTCCCAGCAACCACATGGTGGCTCACAACCATCTATAATGAGATCTGGTACCCTCTTCTGGCCCGCAGGCATACATGTGGACAGAACACTGTATACATTAAAAAAAAAAAAAAAAAAAAGGCAGTGTGGCCAAATTTCATAAAACTGAAGCCCCATCAAGGACCCAACAACATAATGGATAAAATTAGAGCTGTACTTAAAAACTTCATTATAAAACAAACAAGAGGTATTTCCATTGTAACAGTGTAAGTAGATTTTAAAATGACATCTATCCAACTGGGTGTGGTAGTGTACACATGGTGTACAGAGAGAGTTCCAGGGCAGCCAGAGCTACACAGAGAAACCCTGTCTTGAAAAGCCGCACGCTTTTAATAGACAACTCAATATAAATATCATCATTAAAACTTGCTAGTTTAAAATGTGCTAGTGAGTGGAAAGACTTGAAATCATAATTTTAGTGAGTAAAATTAAATGCTTATGGACAAAGACTAGAAAGAAATTGCTAACAATATAAAGGAACTTCTTTAGAGTGGTTAGTAGTTATTTGTGATTTCTTTGTTATAAGCTACATGTGAGATATAGCAATGAAAAGATGGCAGATTTGGCATCAAGAAGCTAAAGCTGAAATCCTAGTTCCACTGGTTTGAGACTGTTTTATTTTATCAAATGACTTAAATTGTCAGGGCTTTGTATTTTATATTCAAGATTAGTTGGGAGTGTGGCTTAGCAGTAGAGTGTTGCCTAGCATGTGTCTAACCAAGAGTTTGATACCTTGTTACACACCCCCCCCCCCCCCCCCGCCCAATACACATCAAAGTTAAAATAGATTACTACATATGAAAGTATATAAAGTATACACAAAAATTCCAAAACATCTGGTTTCCATTTTACCCTTTTTTTGTTTTAAAAACAGACCCCAGAGAGCGAAGATGAGATTCTGGGCGAAAGGGAAACAAGGAGAGAAGAAGACTACTAGAGTAAAACCTGCTCCCCAGTCAGAGGTCTCATCACTCTCTACTGGCTCAGATGTGACATCTGCTAATCCATTTTCAGATGGTAAAAATGGACAAAGGGTGGAGGGTCATAATTTCTGTTGCTCATTTTGAAAGTGTACTATGCCTTTCCTTTTCATAATGACAGTCCTGTTGGAATGATATTTTAATGAGATAGGACTAGTGTTGGTAAATGCTTCCTTACTTAATAACGCAAGGCATACTCGTATGAGAAGTTTCAATAATATGTGGTGTAGAACAGTAAAGAACAACTTCAATGATGATGAATCTTGGACTAGCCTTTGTTTTCTTTTGTGGTAATGCTGGGGTTTGAACCTATAGCCTTGTACATGCTAACAAGTACCCTACCATTGAGCTGCATCCCCAGCCCTAATCATTGTAAAGGTTTAGCCTTGATTCACTTATTTAATAAATACATAATACTCATAGTAATTCATAGCATTAGTTCCTTATTGAGTGGTATGGAAAACCATAGTAAACATGTTATATATACTAAATCTATTGATTTTCAGAACGTTTTTTCCGGTTTTGCTATGATTATTATTCATGGTTTATAGGTAAGAACACCAAAATACAAGGATTTATCTATTTACACATATTCAAATGAAAAGACCTAAGATTTGGATTTGAGTCCAGGCATTCAAACTCCAGAATTGACATTATTTTTTTGTTGCTATTGTTTTGTTTTTCTCTTGTGTTTTTTGTTTTTAGAATAAGGTCTTTCTGTGTAGCTTTGGCTGTCATGGAGCTATACAGATCAGGCTGACCTTGAACTCAACAGAGATCCACCTCTCTGTCTTTTGGGTGCTAGGATTAAAGGCATGCACCATCACACCCAGCAAGAATAACATTCTTTGGTTTGATTTTTTTTTAAACAAAACAAAACAAAGTCTTACACTGTAGCCCAGGTGGTCTGGAATCTGAGACAAGCCTGTCTCATGCTTGGCACAGAGTCCTCATTCTTAGCCATGGTAATATACATCAGGTATTTACTGTGTTAGTTATCTTTCTTGTTGCTGTGGCAAAATACCTTATCAAAACAATTTTAAAAAGGAAGAATGTCCAGCCTGATCTACAAAGCATGTTCCTGGACAGCCAGAGCTGCTACACAAAGAAACCTTGTCTCGAAAAACCAAAAAAAAAAGGAGTTTATTTTGGCTTATAATTTGAGAGAAACTGAGGCATGGCAGCCGGAACTTGAGTCTGCATTCAGGAAGCAGAAAGAAGAATGCTAGTGCTCAGCTCCCTTTTAATGCTGTCTGGGACCCTAGTCCATGAAATGGTATTACTTACATTTAATGGTTGTCTTCCTACCCCACCTAATCTTAATAATCCCTTCAGTCATGCCCAGAGATTGTCTCCAAAGTGATTTTAGATCCTGTCAAGTTGACAGTATTAGCTGTCACATCTACTATACATTAATGCCTAGCAGATCCTAGCATTTCATAATGTTGCTATTCTTTTGACTTTTAGGACATTAGCAGTAACACATTTGAAAGTACTCAACAGTAGCAACTAGCACTTGAAAGAATAGTAGAGATGAAATTAGCCTCTCATTTCATATCTTGTGACTTTGTTCCTGTCAGCTGACCACTGATATAGATAAAAATAATAAATTCAGGGTTTTCTAACCCTAATCTAACTCTGCCTGGAAAAACTTAATTTCCTCCATTGCATTACTCAATTGTTCTTTTTTTTAATTAAAAAAAGATTCTTATTCATTTTACATACCAACCACAGATCTCCCTCTCATCTCTCCTGCTTCCCCTAGCCTCCTCCACTCAACTCCCATCCCGTCCTCTAATTGTTCATTTTCTTAATATCTTATCTGACACTGATTATTCTAAATTTATCATTTTTAGTAATTGTATTCCAATATAATCCCCCCCAAAGGAATGATAAGGCTCATTATTTGAAAATACACATTATAAGCAGATGTCATTTATATAAGGACATTCATAAAAATTAGGATTATGGCTTTTTATACATGTTTGGATAAAAATTTAGTAAAGTAACCTTTGTTTTTAATGCTAAACTGAGATTATAATTTATTTAATACTATTACTTCATTTGTAAGATACTTTGCAAAATGAAGTAATTATTGAGTAAGTTATAATGAAGTCAGTTTATAGCTATATCTAACTACATATATATATTTAGTGTAATATATATATATATGTGTGTATTATGTATGTATCTTTATTTTGGTTTCATGTCCCAATTGAGATTGAATTTGTTCCACTTCCTGCCTGAAATGGCATTTATTATATAGGGAAATATTTTTTGTTTCATTATCAAGATTAGCTTTTAGATGGAATTAGGATAAGCCACTGTTGAGAGGGTAAGGAGCATACTTGTTAGAGAAAGGCGCACATGTGAAATGAGAAGAGGCCAACAGTCTCCTCAGGCTTCTGATAGGGCTTTGCATGTCTAATCTAGTTCTGGTTTTAAATTGTAATGGGCTGCATAGAATTTTATTCCCTAGTATGAACAAATACAAAAATGTGGTGCTTCTCTCTGTAATATATGAAAACTTAGACGGTTATAAGGAGTATAGATAAGACAACACTAAATACTTAAGATAATAGAGCAAAAGCAAGCCAGGTAAGCTACTTGATTCCCAAACAAGTTGTTAACGATCAACAGACACAGTATTGCTGATGTGTTCATGGATGTAGACTATAATAAAAATGTAATTATCAAATTCTCCTTATTGGTTGGTTAGACATAGATATAGCTGGATGCTCCTTCAAACAAGTATAGCAAAGTGATAACTGGATGAACAGTATTTTAATATGCTAGTTTGTTGCATATTCTTCCTGCTCATCTTTGGAACTAAGTTTTTTAACAGTAGGATGAAGATTTTCAATATTTTTTTGTAACTAAGTATATCTTTTTACTTAACCTATTTTGAATTGTAGAATTAACCCAGTATCACCCAACACCTCCTTTGAGCCCAGAACTACCTGGGAGTTGCCGAAAAGAGTTCAAAGAGAATAAGGAGCCTTCTCCAAAGGCAAAGCGCAAGAGAGGTGTGAAAATCAGCAGTGTGGCTTTGGATTCTATGCATTGGCAAAATGACTCTGTCCAAATCATAGCAAGTGCCAGTGATTTAAAAAGTATGGATGAATTTCTTCTAAAAAAGGTACACTTTGCTTGCTGAGTTAGTTAGCCTGTGCAGATTTGACTTAAGAATGCTTGTGTATACAAGATATGCTGTTGTAAAAAGATGGGTTAAAACTTCTTCAATAACTCAGGCATTGATAGTTCAGATAATAGAAAATGCACAGATAGGATTTAAGGTTTTAGTCTCCACTGTGATTTCATAATTGTTACACGTGAAGGTGAAGCTTGTCGCACATTTGTAGTTGTTCTGTTAACAGAACTGTAGAACCAGCATGTTAGAAGGGACCTTAGATGTGATCTCGTGTACTGTCCTTTTCTTAAGCTGTGATGGCCAGTGGCTTGTACTTTTAGAATAGTTATTGCTTAAGCGACATTTCAACCATTGTATTTGTATATTTTTGATGATTTAATTGTTAATTTTTCTGTGGTTGGTCCCTAGATGAACGACCTAGATAATGAAGACAGCAAGAAAGATACATTAGTGGATGTTGTATTTAAAAAAGCCCTGAAAGAATTTCGGCAGAATATCTTCAGCTCTTACTCATCTGCATTGGCGGTAAGCTAAGACCATGTTAGGGGATATTCACAGTTCAGCATAGCTTGGAATTTTAATCAGCTATAAAGTCAGACTAAAGGGAGCAATTCTTAGGACTTAATTATTATGTTACTTCAACTGTTAGGACTTGCTTAGTTATTATATTAGTTCAACTGTTAGGTCTTTTAGGTTTATCCTGCCTACATTTTATACTATAGTGGGTTTTTATGAACACTACATAACCTCTTGAGCTGGCTCATTATAAACTATGTCAAGATCCTAACCTATGTTCCCCAGTACAAGTTGAATCAGTCTTCAAAGAATGTCTTCCTAAAACTTAACAAATTTTTTTTTCTCATTAGATGGATGATGGGAAAAGCATACGATATAAAGACCTGTATGCACTGTTTGAACAGATTCTGGAAAAGACCATGAGACTTGAGCAACGTGATTGGAATGAATCTCCAGTGAGAGTTTGGGTTAACACGTTCAAGGTGTTTTTAGATGAATACATGAATGAATTCAAGACTCTGGATAGCACAGCCTCAAAGGTAAATGAATTACAGTTTGATTTCCATTAAATTATGGATTCTTTGTAAAGAATCTGTTTAGGAAACATTTTTTAATTAGTATTAGTGTATATTATTTTTGTAAAATGATAGGTTTCATTATGCTTTTCCTACATCTATGCAATGTATTTTGATTATACTGTTCACGGTGGCACATTCCAGTAGTCAAATACTGAAGAGGATGAGGCAGGAGAGTCATAGTTCAACAGCAGCCTGGACTATGAATAACTGCAAAACAATGTATTTCAGCAAAATACCACAAGAAGATAACAGTCTATCATTACTTTAGATCCTCCAAGCTCAGTTGTAAGTTTGCCATATATTTTTTTCTGAACTTGTTTGATTGAACATATCCTTCACAATTCTAATAGTGTGCCCTCAATATTATACCTTCATCTTTAACGGAGATTAATCTGTGAATTGACTTCTGAAGAATATGGTTAAAGGTGAAATGAATTAAGTGTATCACTTAGCTTTCACCTAAGAACCTACAAACTAGATCTCTCTTGAAACAGTTTTTAGGGAAAAATGTGTTTTTTGGGAAATCTAAACATTAATAATATTAACCTTTACTTTTCGGTCCTGTTAGGGAGCTGGGAAATTGTACTGCTTGATATTTTAATTAAATTTTGCTTTAAAGTTTTCAAATACTTTGTAATCTTTGTTACAAAAGAGAAGATAGTTGGGTAGGAGTCAGGAACATAGCTCAATTGCTAAAGTGCTTGCCAAGTATTCATAAAACCCAGATCTGAGCTCCAGTACCATATAAAACAAGGTGTGGAGGTACACATCTCTAATTCCAGCACTCTGGGAGTAGAGGCAGAACGATCAGTTCATGGTCACCCTTAGTTACACAGCGAGTTTGAAGCCAGCCTTGAAGAGACCATATACTTTTTGAGTGTGATGACACATACTTGTAATCCCATCACTCTGGAGACTTAAGACAGGAGAATGGAGTGGTCAAAGACAGTCTGTCTTATATATAGAGATTCTAATTTAAAATCTAAACAAAAAAGTAAGTATGAGTGTGTGTGTGTGTGTGTGTGTGTGTGTGTGTGTGTGTGTGTTAAATAAAGAGATAGCTATCTAATCAAGGTTGTCAGTGTATTTCTTTATAACATATAAATTATTTGTTCAGGAATATCATTAGCCTGTGTTAATTGTGCTTTATTTTATTTTTACTTATTTTAGCTTATGAATTAAAATTTTAAGTCATTTTAAAGTAATCTAGATATAAACAGATTCTAGAAATCCTTGTGTTGTGGATATTGGGCTTGTATGTTATACAGAAGATTCTTACTAGATTTATATGCTGTTTTGCAAGTTGATGGCTGTTAAAGATAGGTTTAAGCTCTTCTGTTCTGTGGTCATTAGGAGAGGTCATGTGTCTACAGAGCTTTCCCATGCTCCATGTGGCCCTTTTTATGTTTATGTCCATAGTAGATGGCAAAACCTTTATAGCTAACCATTTGACTAGTGATTAAAATGTCTAATAGTGTGGCATTTAGATAGAACTGCTATTTAAAAAGAGATCAGTCTCGCCGGGCAGTGGTGGCGCATGCCTTTAATCCCAGCACTCGGGAGGCAGAGGCAGGCGGATCTCTGTGAGTTCCAGGCCAGCCTGGTCTACAGAGCGAGATCCAGGAAAGGCGCAAAGCTACACAGAGAAACCCTGCCTCGAAAAAACCAAAAAAAAAAAAAAAAAGAGAGAGAGATCAGTCTTCCATTCTTCTGATTTTGTTAGTACTTAAATATTTTCTCATATTTGGTTTAGTTTTGTACAATTCCTCTTGAAGAATAAAGAACTGTTTATTATTTGTAGAAGCTATTCAAAAATTTACAAAGAAGAGAGTATGTTAGCCATTTGTAATCCTAATTTATGCTTCTCCTCACCCCTTGCCAGGTGCCTAAAACAGAAAGAAAGAAAAGGAGGAAAAAAGAAACTGATTTGGTAAGTTACACTCTTGGTATATTATAAAAATTAATACTTTCCAGCTCAGTAGCTTGAAGCAGATCTTACATTCCTGTGGATAGATTTAGTAATAGGTTTACCAGATCCATAGGGTGTACTCACGTGCCTTTTAAAAAGCTAGAATGACAATGAACCTGAAATCCCAAGAGCACCTACTTTCAGTAGTGGTTTCCTAAAATGGAAGAAAATTTGGAATATTTTCTTGAAATGGTGTGAATAACTTTTCCAACTTGTTTACTATTTCTATAGTTCAGCTCTTTTTGAACATCTCATGGAACTGGAATTGTACAGTTCCTGGTTTTTGCATATGATATTCTTGGGATTCATCCATATTGTTTTATCAGTAGTCAGCTACATTGAGTATTCAGTAGAATTGCTTTGTAGACATATCACTTTGTGGAGGGTTGTGCTGAAGACATTTGGCATGCTAGGCAATTATTCTGCCACTGAGTATAGCCCTAACCCTTTCCTTCACATTTTATTTACCAGTTGATAGACATTTGGGTTGGTTTATGAATGTATGCTATGATTTTTATAATCTTGAAGATATAATTTTGGGTTATAATATTCTAGTTAAAATTTTCAGACTCTGCTAACCAGTTTTCCAAGTAGGAAATGCCACCTACAGTACTGAGAGAGTTCTAATCTCAACACTTTGAGCACCCTATGTAACTGTGTATTTTTTTTTATTGCAGCCATTCTTTTGGGTATGTAGTGGTATTGTGATTTTAATTTACATTGATGTTAAACATCTTTTCACATGTCTGCTAGTCATTTGTATTTCATTGTTGGATTATTTATTCAGCATTTTTAAGTTAGTTTGCCTTATTGGGTTATAACCTTAATATATTAGAATGGTGCTAGGAAAGTTAGCAAGAATGTAAAGGAATGAAACTATATCCTCACCTCTCAGTCTGCATAAAAATCAACTCCAAATGAATCAAAGACATTAGCATTAGTCCTGAAACTGGTAGAGAAATAAGTTGAGACAATACTTCAAGATGGTGAGCATGTGGACAGAGGAATTAAGATTAACAACTGATAGATAGGATCTGTGTAGCAAGAAAAACAACCCAGTCAAAAAAAATGGGTTGAAGCACTGAATATAGAGTTCTCAAAAGAAAAAATACAAATGAGCAATAAATATTTCTAAAAGCATCAACATCCTTAGCCATCAGGAAAGATGTAAACTGTAACTACTTAGAGATCCCATATCACACTGGTTACAATGGCAATCAGCAGGAAAACATATATATATATATAACAAATATATATATACATACATATATATATATGTGTATATATATATATGAGAGAGAGAGAGAGAGAGAGAGAAAGCTACCACTTTGTAGCTAATTTAAGAAACAGTCTTCCAATAAAGTAAAATTGAAGAGCAGATAGACGTACTACTCAATTCCACCAAACCTTTGAAACCAGCATCACCCTGACACTAAAACCAGATGATGATACACCATAAAGGAAACTGTAGATCAGTGTCCTTGATGAACACAGACACAAAAACTCTCAGTAAAACATTTGCAAACAGAATTCAAGAACTTAGTAAGAAGACTGGTTGGTTTGAAAGAAAAAAAGAATCACTAGCCTGGTCTCCAAAGCAAGTTCCAGGAAAGGCGCAAAGCTACACAGAGAAACCCTGTTTCGAAAAACCAAAAAAAAAAGAAAGAAAGAAAGGAAATGGCCCCCAAAGGGAGTGGCACTATTAGGAGGTGTGGCCTTGTTGGAATAGGTTTGGTCTTGTTGGAAGAAGTGTGTCAGTGTAGAGGCAGCCTTTGAGGTCCCATATATGCTCAAGCCATGTCCAGTGAGACAGATCACTTCCTGTTGCCTGTGAATCAAGGTGTAGAACTTTCAGCTACCTCTCCCGCACCATGTCTGCCTGTGTGCTGCCTTTCTACCATAATGATAATGGACTAAACCTTTGAACTGTAAGTGAGCCACCCCAATTAAGTTTTTTCTTTGTAAGAGTTGCCATGGTCATGGCGTCTTGACACAGCAATAGAAACCCTAATGAAGACAAAAATTATGCATGTACCATGACCAAGTTTCTTTCATTCCAGGGATACAAGGATGGTCTGACATGCAAATCAATAAATGTAATAAAGTTCATAAATACATTTAAGGATCCAGATTACATGATTATATCAGTAGATACAGAAAAGGTCTTGGCCAAAGTTCAACATCCCTTCGTGATAAAAGCCATGAAGAAACTGGAAATAGAAGATACATCAACATAATAAATGGAATATATGATAAATCCAGAGCCAACATTATATTATGTAGGGAAAAACCTGAAAGCATTTCCTCTAAAATCAGGAACAAAACAATCATGCCTATTCTCTACTCTTATTCCATGTAATATTCAAAATCATAGCCAGAGCAGTAAGACAAGAGAACAAAAATAAAAGAAATACAAATAAAAACAGAAGTCAGTTTATCCCAATTTACAAATAACGTGGTTCTGTACTCACAAAACCCTAATGACTCTACCAAAAGCCTATTACATGTGATAAACACTTTATACAATGTGACAGGATGAAAATTAGCATAAGCTGGGTGGTGGTGGTGGTGGTGGTGGTGGTGGTGGTGGTGGTGGTGGTGGTGGTGGTGGTGGTGGTGCACACCTTTAATCTCAGCACTCAAGAGACAAAGGCATGCAGATCTCTGTGAGTTTGAGGCCAGCCTGGTCTACAAAAGGAGTTCCGGGACAGGCTCCGAAGCTACACAGAAAAACCCTGTCTCGAAAAAAACAAAGCAAAATAATTAACATAAAACAGCTTTTTATTACCACTAAAGAGCTTGCTGAGAAAAAAAAATCCTAGTCATAATAGCTTAAAACAACAACAACAACCCCCCCACACACATACACACAAAAGACCTTATTAAGGAGAGAGATACCAGAACAGGGAAAAAGATTTCCATGTTCATGGCTTGACAGAGTTAATATTTAAGACTTACCAAAAGCCATCTACAGATTCAGTTCTGTTTCTAAAATTTGGATGGAAGCACAAAATATCCTGAAAGCCAGAGCAGTCCTAAGAAGAGAGAACAATGCTGGAGGTCTCAAAATACTTTTACTCAAACTACACTACAGAGCCATAATAACCAAAACAACATGGTTCCAATACAAAAATAGGCATGGTAGGTCAAAATAGAATAGCTGACCCATACATAAACACATAGATACTTAATACTTGACAAAGGCGTCAAAAAACATAAAATGGGCCGGGCAGTGGTGGCGCACGCCTTTAATCCCAGCACTCGGGAGGCAGAGGCAGGCGGATCTCTGTGAGTTCAAGGCCAGCCTGGTCTACAAAACGAGATCCAGGACAGGCACCAAAGCTACACAGAGAAACCCTGTCTTGAAAAACCAAAAATAAATAAATAAATAAAATGGAAAAAATATAGCCTCTTAACAAATGGTACTGAGAAAACTGAATGTCAACATCGATATGTCACCTTGTATAAAAATCAATTAAAAATGGATCAAAGACCTTAATATAAAATCTGTAAGTCTGAAGCTGCTAGAAGCAATCATTGGTAAAAAACTTCAAGATTACAAGTATAGGCAAGGACATTCTGACAAGGACTTACAAACATAGGAAAAATTCCCAAGAATTGACAAATGGAAATGCACAAAATTAAAAAGCTACTTTACAACAAAAGAAAACATAACAAGTGAAGAGACAAAGGTGTGTGGGGGGGTATCTACCAACTATACGTCTGACAGAATCTGTAAATTACTTCAAAAATTAAAAACCACCAGGCAGTGGTGGCGCATGCCTTTAACCCCAGCCCTCAGGAGGCAGAGGCAGGTGGATCTCTGTGAGTTTGTGGCCAGCCTGGGCTACAGAATGAGATCCAGGACAGGCACCAAAGCTACACAGAGAAACCCTGTCTCAAAAAAAAAAAAAAAAAACCAAAATCAATGAATGAATGAATGAATAAAAATATATCAAAATAAGACATGTTCAACTGAATTGAAAATTTCTCAAGAAAAAAAACAATCAAAAGGCTAATACATGAAAAATGTTCAACACCCTCAGCTATCATGGAAATACAGATTAAAACTGCTTTGAGATTCTACTCCACCCTGTCAGAATCGCTGTCATTAGTGAGGATATGAGGGAAGAGGAGGAATACTTGTATGCTGCCAGTGAAAATATAAACTGGTACAGCCACAATGAAAATCAGTATGGTAGTTCCTCAAAAGAATTACCATATAATCTACCTGTGCCTCTTTGAGGTATGTACTTCAAAGATTCTAAGCTGGCATACCACAGAGATACTTGCCCAGCCATGATTATTGTAGCACTATATTCAAAATATTTAAGATATAAAACCAGTTAGATGTTCATCAACAGATTAATGGATAAAGAAAATGCTACATATATACATTGAAATTTTAAATGGTTGTAAAGAATGGAATTGTGACATTTGTAGTAATATGTATGGAACTGTCATAGTAAGTGAAATAAGCAAGTCTAAAACAAATGTCACATGTTTTATCTCATGTAGCTTATAGATTTAAATTTTATGTATGTTCAATATATACATACAACATGAAAGCAGAAAGTGAAATGTGAGAGTGAAATCTAAAGTGAGGGAGGAATACAAGAGGGTAATGTATGTGTCATGAAAGCAGAACAGGGAACTATTTCAGGGAAGGAAACCCGCAATAACAGTAAGAGAGCAAACAAGAACAAATTTGCCAGGCAAGTCAGTGACCTTTAATCCCAGCACTTGGGAGACAGAGATAGGTGGATTTCTGTGAGTTCAAGGTCAGCCTGGTCTACATAGGGAGTCCTAGGCCAACCAGGGCTACATGGTGAGGCCATCTCAAACAAATAAACAAGAAAGGTAAATATGTATTGATAATGTCACAATGAAACCATTTTCTTTTTTATGGTAACCAAAAAGTTGATTAGGAAAAAAAAATAATAATAATTATTTATGTTAATACTTAACGTGCTTATATTTTCAGTTTTAATTTCTAAATAGCAATAGGTATAATTCATGAAAACAAAAGCCTTTTGAGGTCATGATTGATTTTCAGTAATGTAAAACATTTCTGAAATGGACATTTTAGAAATACTACTTTCAATTTAACATGTGCCTTGGAGTCACATAAGATAGCCATCACATGCTTGTTGTGTTGCATTGTTTTTTTAATATCTACATATCTAAGGGACAAACTATATTTTATTTTCATTATTTCCTGGAGGATCATAATTCTCTACCTGGAGTAAATACCTGGTGAAGTCTTAGCAAGAGGTTGGAGGATTTTCCATTTGCCAACAGGGAAGCATTTACTTTATTGGCTGTAGTATAAATAGTGAAATCTCTTCATTCAGGTGGAAGAGCACAATGGCCACATCTTTAAGGCCACCCAGTATAGCATCCCTACATACTGTGAATACTGTTCTTCCTTGATATGGATAATGGACAGAGCCTCTGTTTGCAAATGTAAGTATTAGACATCTTTGAGGGAAAAGCCTTTATGGTCTTCTCTTGTGTTAGGGTTAGGGTTAGGGTTAGGGTTAGGGTTCAAAACTAGTTATGTGTGCAAAACTAGTACCATATACATGTCAAGTTTTGCAGCCACTTGGAGTAATAATAGTCAAGCCCTCTTGGATTATAACTGCAGTACTTCTTAGTGCCTGAGCAGCTGAACTTTGGAAAACATTTTGCTAATTAGCTCTTTGTGAGTTTAACACTATGGTTAATACCCTCTTTTTTGTTTGTTTGTTTGTTTTTGTTTTGTTTTTTTCAAGACAGGGTTTCTCTGTGTAGCTTTGCGCCTTTCCTGGAACTCGCTTTGTAGACCAGGCTGGCATCGAACTCACAGAGATCTGCCTGCCTCTGCCTCCGGAGTGCTGGGATTAAAGGCGTGAGCCACCACCGCCCAGCTTGGTTAATACCCTCTTTAATGCAGTCTTTCAAATGAAGTTTTATGTCACCCTGGAACTTGCTCTGGGAAGGCTGTCATGACTGCCTGAAATGTCTTCAAGGAACCCTTCCTATGATTCCAGTGCAAGTTTACCATCTTCTTTTTCTTCTCTCTCTCTTTTTTTTTTTTTTTTTCTTTTTCTTTTTCTTTTTCCCCCCGAGACAGGGTTTCTCTGTGTTGCCTTAGCTATCCTGGAACTCACTCTTTAGGTCAAGCTGGCCGTGAACTCAGACATCTGCCTGCCTCTGTCTCCGAATGCTGGCATTAAAGGCATGTGCCACCACTGCCCAGTTACCATTTTCTTTTTAATGTTGCTAAACTCTTTAACAACTAATTTCTTTTTGTCCATACCTATGTGTCCTTTTCTTGACAAAACTGAACATTTTTTATTCTACTTTCCAATTATCAATATAAACTTGGCTAAATGTAGCCAGCAATAACCACACTACAGCCTGAATGCTATTTTCTCTTGAAATGTCCCCCATCAAATTAATTAATCCTTTAATTCTGCCTCACTCAAATTTTCAGAACCTGGATCAACATAGATAATACAAACGGCCTCTAGCCCAGTTCTCCATAGGATCGTTGTTCGATCCTGGAACATATGAGCCTGGCCTTCACCGTCATCATTTTTATTAGCAGTCTGGTTTTCCAGCTTCCTTCCAAAATAGCTCATCATGTTCTACTTACAGCAATCTAGGAATAGGGCTTTTCTATCTTCAAGCTCTATATTTTTCCACATTCCTCTCCTAAATCAGTTTCAAAGACTTAAAATGACTTTGTCAAGTTTAGCCAAGACAACAACCCCACTTGTCCAGTATCAGTTTTCTATATTAGTTTTGTGTCGATGTGGCCACAATGCCTAACAGAAACAACTCAAGGGAAGAGACGTTTGTTTTGGCTCATGTGTAGTCCTTCATGCCCGTTGGGCTGTGTGGTAGAGGCAAACCAAGAAGCAAAGATTGTGACCCACATGAGGGCAGGATGTAATCTGCAAATGCCCACCTCTAGTGATCTGCTTCAACCCATGAGTTTCCACCTTGTAATGACTCCACAACCTCCCCAAAATGGTACTACTAGATGGGGAATAAACATTTAAATAATGATCCTGTGGGGATTTCAGATTCAAACTTGAATGAAGCAAGACCTTTCATTTTATTATTAGTGATCTTAAAAATTGTAATGAGATTGATAATGGGAAGTAATCTGAAATGTACTTGATTCAGACACTGTGACTTTAGACTAAACAGTGGTTCACAACCTTTCTGATACTGTGACCCTTTAATACAGTTGTGTAGACCCCCAACCATTTTCGTTGCTACTTCCTAACTGTAATGTTGCTGCTGTTAGGAGTTGTAGTGTAAATATTTGATATGCAGGATATCTGATATGTAACCCACAAAGGGGTTGCAACCCACAAAGGGGTCGAAACACACAGGTTGAGAACTGCTGGTTTAGAGAATTTGCTTTTTTTATGGCCAAAGTGGATTTAGATTGATTTCTTTATAGAATTAATGGTTTTTATGACTGTCTTGATTATCTCACCAGTATAACACCATGGCCTCTTCTACTTGATTTTTTTTTTGGTGGGGGGTGGTTTTGAGACAGGGTTTCTCTGTGTAGTTTTGGTGCCTGTCCTGGAACTCACTCTATAGACCAGGCTGGCCTTGAACTCACAGAGATCCGCCTGCCTCTGCCTCCTGAGTGCTGGGATTAAAGCATGTGCCACCACTGCCCAGCATCTACTTGATTTTAGTATTGAAAACATAAACATGAGAACTTTAAGAAAGATTATTTTGTTAGTTTGCAAGAGTTGATAGAAGTAGAATGACACAAGTTACCTTGTTCTCAGCATCCCCAATCAAGTGTCTCCCACTCACCAGCTATCTGGCCACGTTGCTGCTCCAAGAAATTGTGTTTTGTTTGTTGTTTTTTGTCTTTGAGACAGTGTTTCTCTATGTTGCCCTGGATGGCCTCAGACTCACAGAGATCTTTTTACTTTTGCATCTCAAGCCTAGAAATTATTTATTTTTTTTACTCTAAACTTTTTTTTATCTTATGTTCCCTACCATAACTAATACTCTGCTTATATTATTTCTTCTTAGAGTTCTATTCTGGTCCTTTAGAGATAATAAATAAGCCCTTTTCTATCTTTTTAAATATACTGCCAATTTCATTTCATTTCAGTAAGCATTTTTTGACAATAATGCCTTTGTGTGTAGTCATGATTCTTAGTTGGTATTTCTGGGGTTTCAACAGGTTTTAGAACACCTGGGAGACATATACACTAACTTGTGAATCAGACCATAAAGATAGATAAATAACCTGTTGGAATTGGGTGTGTGGGTGGGGGGCATGAGTGCAGTAGGACAGGCACCCTAGAGAGAATAGAAAGCTTGTTCCTTGACACTGACTGAAAATGTTAGGTGGTGTTTTCAACTTCATTTCCCTTACCAGAGGATAGCTCAAATAAAATGTAATCATGACCTTAGAGCAGATTCAGCTCCAAAGGCACAAACTGTATCCAAGTAAGTTGTGAACTTGGTAAGTTCTTGCCATTGATTTGCAGACTAAAATTGCTGCATCCTTAACCTGTTTTCCAGTGTGTAAGTATGCTTGCCATAAGAAGTGCTGTCTGAAAACCACAGTCAAGTGCTCCAAGAAGGTAAGCTACTCTCGCCCTCCAGACTACACACTGTGGATCTGCAGGTCTTTTGGCCACATGGAAAGAAGTTGGGGCTTCTTTGATGGCTTTATAATACAGTGGTTTTCAAACTTCATGACCCCAGATCACATTACAAAGTATGATTTATGTCATAATCTTAAATACATATATATGTATATATGTATATGTATATAACCAAAATAATTTTCTTAAAACCTTTTATGTTGACTTTATGTGAGCTGCTAAGTTGATTCGCAGGTTACAATTTGAAACAAGACTGTTCCTACTGAGTTAAACATTCATAAGTCTTCTGAAGAATTATCTTTAAGGTTCACTGTTAACATTTTAACCAAGAACAACAGTATATGTTAAAAGAGGTGGTATTTTCAAATACCTACTTGTATTTGAGTACAGGAATCTAAAAATTACTGAACATGTATCTTCAAGGAAACAACCTTTTTTTGTTGGTGGTGGTTTTGTTTGTTTGTTTTGTTCTGTTTTGTATTTTTGGAGAAAGGGTCCTTCTGCTATGTATCGCTGCTGTCTTAGAACTCGATGTGTAGACCAGGGTGGCCTCAAACCACCTGCCCCTGCCTCTTGAGTGCTGGCATTAAAGGCATGCACAACCACTGCCCAGCCATTTTTTAAAAGTCTTAATTAGTGACTAATGTGGGTAGGACCAGATCATCTTGGGTGGTGCTAACTCTGGGCACGTGGTGTCCTTAGTTTTAAAAGAAAGCAAGCTGAGCAAGCCATGAGAGGAGCAAACCAGTAAGCAGTGTTCCTCTATGACGTCTGCTTCAGTTCTTGCCCTGACTTCCTTTGACTGTAATGTGGAGGTGTGAGCAAAATAAACCCTCTTCTCCTGAGTTGCTTTGGTCTTGGTGTTTTATCACAGCAACAGAAACGTCACCAAGAAAACAGCAGCCAAACAGTGTTCTGTATAGAAATCTTACATACCAAGTCAAAGAAGATTGTTGAGGTTTAGCAACCTCTTAGACTTTGAGGGGATCGGGGGTGGGGGGGGTGGGGGAGTTCCATACTGTCAAGATTTGAACCACCATGGTTCGTTCATTAGAGAAATAAGGCTAAAATTTAGAAATATTTTGCTTCAGGACATGGTTTTTAGCTTAAAAGCTATTTAGCCTCAAAGGCAGAATCTAATTAGGATAGGATTTCCCAGAGTCTCACAGTGCTAAGGAGAAAAAAGAGAATTTTAGGATTAACCATCAAAGAAAAGCAGTTCCCCAGACTCTCAATGAGAGCCATTTCAAGAAATACATCCTAGGAATGGGGGTGAATCATTGATAGACTGAGCTTAACAAAATTTACCAGTTAGCTTTGAGGTGGTCCTTAACTAGATTACAGTGATATTTCCTTATTCTGAGCACACCTACAAGAGAGGAGGAACCTCTCCAAAGAGAGAGAACGTCACTCAGCACTATTATAATTTTTTCCAAATATCATTCAAGACACAAAGAATTGGACTACTTAGTAAATAGTCAATAAAATAGATCCCAATAGTTACTAAAGTATCAGGTATATAGCTTTAAGCTTTAATGGATATGTTTTTAAATATTAGTTAAAAAGATGGAGTTCACCAATGAACTAAAATATATAAGTATATATTTTAACAGAATCAAGTGGAGATTCTAGAAAGAAAAATGCAGTTGAAATTTTAAACTCTTATATAAGAATTTTTTAGCAGCCTATACAGAAGGGAAGGTGAGTAAACTGAAAAGCTGCAGAAAATATCTAGCCTGGGAGAATAGTAAAAAGAATGGAAAAATATAGAAATGTAAAGAAAGATGGGGTGCTGTGTGTGGGTATATGTATGTGGAGGCCCAAGGCCCACTTCAGGTATCTTCCTTGATTGTTCCCAGTCCCTCGATAAATCGGGAGCACACAGACTCAGCCAACCTGCCCAGGGAAATCAGTCTCCTGTCTGCTTCCTGGATGCTGGCATTTTAGATAGGCCACCACACCCATCTAGCTTTTATGTGGGTCACTTCATACAGCAGCATGCTCCTGTAACCCTGCACTCAGGAGGCAGAGGCAGGCAGATCTCTATGCATTAGAGGCCGCCCTAGTCTACATTATCGGGTTCCAGGCCAGCACTTTTAACATGAACTAGGATAAATACAGTAAAACAACAGTATAGTACTCTAAGCAAAAGTACAGTTTCTTAAAATAATTACCCAAAGAAGCAATGAGATAAAGCACAGTTGATTTCTGAACAGAAATACTGGAAGCCAGTAGGTAGTGGATAGGGATCTTCTGTGTTCCAAGAAAAGAGAGCCAACTGAAATTTTTCATTATACACAGTGAAAATACTGTTCAGAAGTGAAAATGTTGGCCTGGGGATTTAGCTCAGTGATGGAATGCCTTTCTAATGTGTGCAAAGCTCTGGGTTTGTCATTTGGTACTGAAGGTAAAAAAGTGAACATGTTTAGAAGACATTTTAAGACAGATAAAAACATAGAATTCATCCCAGTAGATGTGTACTGATTACAATACAAATGGAAAAACATTTGAAAAAAAATTTTTGGGTTTTGTTTTGGTTTTGGTTTTTTGGTTTTTTGAGACAGGGTTTCTCTGTGTAGCTTTGCACCTTTCCTGGAACTCACTCTGTAGCCCAGGCTGGCCTCAAACTCACAGAGATCCACCTGCCTCTGCCTCCTAAGGGCTGGGATTAAAGGCATGTGCCACCACCACCCAGCTCATTTGAAATATTTTTAACTCATAATATAACTGTGACATAGAAAAATTATAAGGTACATTAAAGCTGTCTGAGGATAGTAAGGCTGGTTGCATGGATGGGATATGTTAAAGGAGGAGAAAACTGATACTGTTAGAGCAGTTCAGTTGAGCAGTTGCATAGGTTGAAAGAGGGTAATGAGACCCAGCTGAGGGGAGAAAAGTGTAGAGAGTTAGGCTGAGTGACTAAAAGCTTGCCTCCTGATTGAATGAAGGTTGAAGGTGATAATAGGTTAGGGGCAGATAAAGGAGAAGGAAACAAAGATTTGTAGAAACTGTTTCTGTCTTAGAGATCTAGGAGTTGGCATTTTTGTGTGTTACTTAAATTTTCTCTATGATAAGGTGTTCTGTAGCACCTAGTTAATAGTGTGTGGTATTAGATATGCCACTAAAGTCAGTGAAGGAATACTGACACTAATTGTAGGCCAATCTATGTGTGCCTTTGCTTAGGAAATAGTTGCAAATAAGACTTTGATAAAGTTTTATCTTTGAAATGGCAGAGTATTCTTGTGTTTTAGAAATTACTAACAAGTTAATTCATTAAAAACAATTCAGTGGATTTCCCAAAGTATGTGGCAAATGTTTTAAGTTGTTTTGTTTTGTTTGTGCATACAAAATTGAACCCCCTTCTCCCCAACTAACCTCACCTTTGCTGGAATTGATTTTTGATGGGAGGAAAGTAGCAGCCCATTGCCACTGTCTTTGTTTTCTTTTGTGGATTCGCAGCAGAGATGATCGAGAGTAGTATGTCATCACTTTATACTTTTTAAACCATAATTCCCTTTCCTCCCAACTCTGAGGGTTATCTGCATAAAACTAGGGAAATAAAAAGTAATTCCCTAAAGATTGGCTAAACATGTTCTGTAGTGTTCGAATGCCTTTAGAAACAAAATTTATCTTCCATTTAGTACGATCCAGAGCTGTCATCTCGGCAATTTGGGGTTGAACTGTCCCGTTTGACTAGTGAAGACCGAGCTGTTCCTTTAGTGGTTGAAAAGCTCATAAACTACATTGAAATGCATGGGCTTTATACTGAAGGTATTTACCGGAAGTCTGGTTCAACTAATAAAATCAAGGAGCTTCGACAAGGTCTAGATACAGGTAAGATAGTGTGCCCCCAGTCAAATACAATACTTTTATTTTAAAAGTTATTTCAGTTTTATTACACACTGATCCTCTAAATATAGGGCCAGAACCCTTTCTGTGGGACTTGTTTGCTATTTTTGAGTCTTTGGCTGTATTTAGTTAATTCATCAAGCGTATGTTGACAGTATTACTTGTATAAGGTATTATTAGGTACTTGAAAAAGATCTCAATCTATTTGACACACTAATTAGATCCTGATGTTCTTAATTTATGAAGAGGAAAATTTAGGTTCGGAGAAATTAATGGAATGTTGATGCAAGGCAACAAAGATTTTTAGAAACAGTCTTGTAAACTTAGGGACATCTTTCATCTGCATGTACAGAAAAGGAACCAGACTGATAGAGCAGCTTATCTTAAGGACTTATCTCCAGCAAGTGACCACGTTGGAATTTAATCCTGTGTCTTCTGAATCCATAATTTAAAGTACTGCCTGTTTTTCTTCACTCTTCTGACTATAGGTGGTGTTCTTTGCAGTAGATTTTCCTACTCCTGTCCACAGTGAGGACTTAGTTATTTAAACTGATAGTGAGTTGAACACTTATTAGTGTAAGCTTAATTCCAGAATAACTGCAGGAGCTTATTACCCTTTGGTTTCATTCTCAATTTAACACTTTTTATCATTGTTAGCAGAAAATAGCTCTTTTTGAACCAGATTTAGATACAAAGGTGGTTTTTGTATGACTAAGAACCACAATGGTTTTTCTCAGGAACTAATCAGTGAGAAATGAATTAGTATGAAAATAACAGGAAATGGCTGATAAAACTCAGGCAGTAAATTCTGACTGTCATACTGTCTACTCCAGTTTATGGGCATTTGTCAGGTTTGGCTCTTGAACTGTGCAACAGAACAAGTGTAAATCTATATCCTAATAGTAAGATAAGGTATTATCTAATACCTTATCTAATCAATAACCTTATGAAATTTATAAACAAAACAGGATGAAGATGTTTCCATTACATTTCCCTGCCTTCTCATCTCTAAAAATGACTTAAAGTCTGCCTTGCTTTTAGAAAATATCTTTTAGGGCTTTCCCCTTGGGCTTCTAAAGCATTGGTGCTCAGGAGTGAGGTATATGGGCTACTCTACAAGACAATTACAAAAATGGAAAGTAAGCACCTAGAAACTTCTGTAGCAGTTTGATTCTTCCCCATCAAAAGGTGATCTTTTACATTTGTGTTCACAACAGATTTAGAAAATACAGACAACACTATTCCTTTATGGTTAGAAGTAACAATTCCAAACATAGAATTAGATTGTGGGAGATATATAATAGTTTAAGAAACATGAAGGCTTCTTTTAGTAGGTTTACTTTGTGAATTACTTGAATCTTTTTGCATGTTTTGGCTTTGTTATCTAACCATTGTCTCTAAATAGATGCTGAAAGTGTAAACCTAGATGACTATAACATACATGTTATTGCAAGTGTATTCAAACAATGGCTTCGTGATTTGCCCAATCCACTCATGACCTTTGAACTCTATGAGGAATTTCTTCGAGCTATGGGTAAGCACAAGCTTCTTGGGTTTAAAGGAAAGGCCTACCCTTGATAAACTAACACCATGTCTTTATGGGTCCTAAATTAAGCTTGTGGCAGTCAATACAAAACTGCCAGCATAGTTGCCTATTCAAATGTTGACTTTTTATAGATTCTTCTAAGTTTCTGAGTAAAGCCACTTTGTTGCTTCTCAAAAAAAATAACTGAAAGATGTGAATTATAAAAACAGTAAAATATGAAGTAGAAGATTTTAGGGTGGGTTAACATTCACTTGTGAATCTAAGCAAGAACTGTGTCTGCAGTGCAGCTAGCTGTCTGTTTTATACCAAATGGGCTCTGTGCTTTAAATGTATCATATATTGGTAAAGGTCTGCCTAGAGGTATGTAGGACCTGAGGGTTTATGATTACATAGAACAGTTGGTTAATTTCAATGAGAAGCACGTCTGTCACATAATGGCTGCAATACTAGAATACCTGTGCTCTTACTATCATCAAGGGCTGCTGGAGGACAAACTAAACTTTGGGAATTCAAATATAGGAAGCCAAGTAGCTGGGAGCTATAGTTCTGCCTCCCTAAGCTGGAACCATCATTCTCTGCTGTAGAATTTCCATCCAGGAGGAAGATAAAGCATGTATCAGGGATATTCCTTGTAACTTGCTATTCTTACCATTTTTTTTTTAGGCCTTCAGGAGAGAAAGGAGACAATCCGTGGTGTGTACTCTGTAATTGATCAGCTCTCCCGAACTCATCTCAATACACTGGAACGCCTTATCTTTCATCTAGTAAGGTAACTTAACAGTTTCTTCAGGATTTCTTTCCTTTTCCCCCCTCCTCCCAAGGCATGATCTCACTATGTATCTTGGAACTCATTATGTAGATCAGGCTGGCCTTGAACTCACAGAGACCTTTCTGCCTCTGCCTCACAAGTGCCTGGCCTTTTCTGGGGAAAGGGGTCAAGATTCCATTCAGTTGAAGAACTTGAATAGATACAGTCAGTGCCTTGCCTGAGAATGTAGTTCAGAGGTAGAGTGCTTACCTAGCATGCACAGGACCTTCAGTGTGCTCCTTACCAATGTTTATAAAACAACACCCCCCACTCCCGATGAAACACCTTTCTGCCTTTCTAAACTTTGTAACTTAAATAGGGGTTAGGGTTCCTTCAAGCAGAAATTTGCTAAGCAGAGTGACTGTTGGTCATTTAGCAGCTCCCACCTCATGGTAGCACCAAGTAACATAGCCATTTTGACACCTGAACTAGAAAAGAGTTTGTGTCTGTGGACACCTACTTTGTGGAAGCTGGATTCAGATTGTACTCAGGAATTGAAAGACTAGAGCATTCAGGAGTAGATATCTTTCCATATGTGTAAATACTAGAAGGGGTTGGGAGTACAACCCTTTCTCTGGTCAGATGTGTAAGATGTTTGGAAATGCCTTAGAACTTCTACTGTAGGTGTTGGAGAGAGGGCTCAGTGGTTAAGAGCACTGTCTGCTCCTCCAGAGAACCTGGGTTCAATTCCCAGCAACCACATGGCAGCTCATAACTGTCTGTTCCTCCAGTTCCAGGGGATCTGACACTGTCACACAAGCATACATGAGGCAAAACACCAATGCACATAAAATACAAATAAACCATATTTAAAAAATAATAGTAACACCACAACTTCAACTCAGCATTCTGCAGACATGTTCATGATGTTGGCTTTAAGCAGCAGGTCACAAACTTCCCTTGACATGCTGTATGTTGTCTTATGACTGTTTCAGGGAGTAGTAAAAGTCTATTTTCCAGGTAAACTTAGGTAGGTATCCAAACAGTACTATGGGGTTGATGGCATACTGTTTCTTTTCCTTATCTTCCCACTATTATTTTATTTTTATCCCCTTTTCACTTGTGTTGGTTTTTGCTTTATTCCTTAGGATTGCTCTACAGGAAGACACTAATCGAATGTCTGCTAATGCTCTGGCCATTGTGTTTGCACCTTGCATTCTCCGTTGCCCTGACACTACTGACCCACTACAAAGTGTACAAGATATCAGTAAGACTACCACGTAAGGCCACCCACATCCCTCTCCAGGATCTTAGTTGGTGTAGTTGTTTTTATCCAGATATCATACACAGCGAATGAGTTCATATGTTCTGGTGCCTTTAAGCATATTCTTGGTAGTCTACGGTTTACTTCAGTTTAGAATTACTTACAGTTTTTAACTGGATTTCTCTTTTGTCAATTATTTATATCTCCATGTAAAGCATGTCGTCTAATCATGATCTTAAGACCCAGAATCTCTTTGGTTATAATACTTCGGTATTCCCACATTTCACCCTGACCTTTTTTCTTAAGCCTCTTTTTTTTTTTTTTCTCCCTAAATCTGACTTCAGTGTAATTTTTGGAAAATTTGAGGGCTTGAGTCCCATCCTTAGAGTTGTCTGATTTATTAATTGATCGGGATTATAGCCTGGGTGTTAGAATTTGTAACTATTTTCAGGTGGTTTCTAAAATGCACACAAAGTTGTCAACCACTATTCTGAATCCTCTTTTCTCTGAGCTCATAAAATAAAGGATGCTTCCTTCGTCCTTCAGCTGTCTAGGACATTCAGTTTAAAGAAGTCTGGGGATACCACACTTCATTTGATTTACTTCTGCTTGTAACAGTTTTTCCTTTCTTCCTGTTTTAGCTGTGTGGAGCTGATTGTTGTAGAACAAATGAATAAATATAAGGCCCGTCTCAAAGATATAAGTAGCCTGGAATTTGCTGAAAATAAAGCAAAGACCAGACTATCACTGATTCGTAGATCAATGGTAAGATGCAAAACATGGAACCACGGTGAAGGGGGGGAGGCGCTTTCTGTGATTTTTGAGTATTTGTGACATGAATTATGCACAGAAGGAACTTTTCAGAAGAAACACAGGTGCTATGAACATCTGATGATCTTTTAAGTTATTTTAGCTATATGTACAGAATATATAATTAAATGTGCAGAATTTTTTAAATATTTTGAATAAAAAGTTGGTGGATTATAACCTTCACTGTACCTTGCCAATGTCCATGTCATGAAAACTTAACTTTACCCTAACTTTTTCTCTATATCTTTCCACTATCTTCCTACTCTCAACCATATCATTTTTGGTGGTCTTTCCAAGATTCCTGACAGTAGAGAACTTAATCATTTGGAATTGAATATGAACTAAAGTGCTTGATTCATACAGAAGCAGAATTCCATTTATGAGTCTTCTATGATCAGATAAAGATTTAGGGATTTATTGTTGGGTTTTGAGATGAGCTAATTAGTGATAATTTATTTTTTTCATTTACTGACTTTTGTATTTAGTGTCTTCTGTTGTAACCAGTCACCAGTAATTATGTAGATAACTCCAGTTACCATTAACTAAGAATCAGTAGGATCTTAGGTTCTGGTAAAACAACCGATGCCTTAAGGTTTAACTTTTGCCTACTTGTTACCCTTCTTTCAGTTGTAAAATAACATTGTAGCAGCAGGCACTCACTTCAGATCGCCAGCAAATTTCTCAAAGCAGCAGCTCCCCGGTTTTCGTATTTTTCTAGGGCTCCCACAGTGCTTCTTCCATGTCATTATAGTTTGTATTTAGATTGGCGTTGAAACAACTCTGCTTCTTCCTTTCCTATTTCAGCGTCCTTGCACAGAACAAATGTTCAACAGAGGGTAGGGTTACTGGAAGAATTCTACTTTTCCCAGGCATTAAATGAAGCTCATTGTCTTAGGATTTCCATTACTGTGATAAAACACCATGACCATAAGCAACTTAGAGGGGGAGTGTTATTTCAGTTTAGAGTTTGTAGTCCATCATTCCAGGAAGTTAGGGGAGAAGCCTGAAGGCGGAGACTGTGGGAAGAGGGCTGCCTACAGGCCAGCCCCTTGTGGCTTGCTCAGCTTGCTTTCTTATATATACCACCCAGAACTGCCTGTACAGGAGTGATACTGGCTGCAATGAGCTAGACCCTTCCACGTAATCTTCAATCCAGAAAATGCACCACAGGCTTGCCCACAGACCAAGCTGATGAAGGCATTTTTCTCAGTAGAGGTTCTGTCTTTGAAAATGACTCTATCTTCTGTCAAGGTGACATAAAACTAGCTAGCACACTCATCATAGGATATGACCCAAATCTCTCCCCAAGGCATTAAAAATGAAAATCCTATTTGAAGTGAAATTTGGGCCTGAGGCTTTATATGAGTTGGTAGAATGCTTGCCTTTAAGACAAAGTTGATCCCTGGCACTGCAAACAAACAAAATAAATCTTTTCTGTATTAAGAATTTTAGCTCAGTAGTCAGAGGTCTAATTTATTAGTACCCACCTAGGAAGGAAAGAAAAAGCTTCTTAACTGCAAAACTATATTCCAAAGCAAGTGGAAAACTGGGCATCCCCTCCTCCCCAGTACTGCAGAGAATGGATGTATTCATTCCACTGAAAGGTTTAGCCTTCTCTTTTAATGGGGCAATGACATGTACATTCTAACCTTTGCTTTCCTTTTCATGTCCTTCCTAATCCAGAAACCTGTACTAATTGCAGTTAGATTTATGAGCATTACCCGCAGTTCAGTCTCGGTATGTATTAATATTGCAATGTGTCATAGTCACTTCACATCAATGTGTCTCATTCATCCAGGAATTGTTCTGCTCTGTCAGTCATTCGTGCCTGTCTGCCTTACATGTTCAAACCCAGTTCAGGACTCACTTTTTGATCAGCCTTCACTTGCCTTTTTCTTAATCACTTTCTTTAGGTCCTTCACTCTCTCTGTGCTATGCAGGTGAACAGTGTTCATTTGAAATAGACTGTTTTTCCTTGTCAGATAATCCTCCTTTAGAGTTCCTGTTTTGGTTAAGTCTTCAAAAGGTGGGGTTGAAGATACTGAGGTTCTCAGATCGATTCTGCTGTATGAACTATGTTCCTAGCAAATTCACTTTATTATTTGAAATACCTGTTATGGTTTTCAGTATCTATCATGAGTAATGCTTATGTATCTGTTTGTAACTGTGATTCTGGTGGTATCTTCCAAGATGTAGAAATATGGCTCTCAGCTACTTAAGTGTTTGTCAGACAAGATTTTGTTGTTGCTGCCTCTCTTTATAAACAGTGTTTATGCAAAGGAGAAATGGAAAGGTAGAAAGCTAAAATACCAAGCTATGTGGAAACTAATGTCAAAATACCTGTCTCTGTGTACCATTTTACTGGGAAGCATTAACTTGTTGATCTATAAATACAGATATCACTCACTAGTAACTAGTAACTGTGTAGAAATGGTCAATTCTACCATATCAAGCTTCCCTTTTCCTTGGAATATCAACCTAACAGCATATCACTATTACATTTCTTTCAAATGTTTCTGTCTCATTTAAGATAAAGTGCACTTTATATTAAAATTTCAGTCATAGACTTGGTATATCCTGTATTTTTCTCACTTCTTTACAGACTACACCTTTATCTGGGGAGTTGTAGCATAAACTTCCTTGCAGGGCAGACTCACCTTTTATCTGGAGGAAGAATTATAGGGTAAACAGAATTCTGCATGCTGTTCCAGTGTTCTGTGGCAGTTCTGTTTGACTGTTTTACACTGCTGTTCTGTCAGCAGTCTAACTAAAGATGAGTGGTAGCTCCAGATTTACTCTCCTGACAGTCAGATTGAACCTGTCGTCTCTGTGTACATTGCCAGTACTCTTAAGTCACTGATTCTCAACCTTCTCAATGCACCACCCCTTAATACTGTTCCTCATGTTGTGGTTACCCCAACTATAAAATTATTTTTGTTGCTACTTCATAACTGTAATTTTGCTGCTGTTATGAATTGTAATGTAAATATTTTGGGGGTAGAGGTTTGCCAAGGGGTAGTGACCCACAAGTTGAGAACCACTGGTTTAAGATGGGACAGTATCTTCTGTCTAAATTCTTATTGATGGCATTAACATGGTATGGGAAGCTGTCAAATTTTCAGGGCAGTTACAAGTTTTCTAAAATTCTAATGTTTGCTTAGAACTCTTAAAGTGTTATCAGTGACAAAAATTGTCTCTTGAAAATAATAGGTTCCTTTCAAATAGGGTCAAAGTCTGTACAACATACTCCTTTGTGACTAGTCATACTTTGTCAATTATCCCAGTGTTTGAAGATAAAAGCAGCTAAATTATTCAGCTTGCTAAGCAGGTAGTTGTACAAATACTGTTTTCTAGGATAACCCTCAGCATATAGCAGAGGGAGGTGCTTTTTGTGTACTTGTCATTTTATCGTATATAAATAAAAACAGTGAATTTAACCCTTAAGGGTTAATAATTATTATATGACTTAACTGATGGCATGAAACTGACTAATTTTTACCTGTGAATACATGGTATTAAAAAATGTGATGACTGCCAGGTGGTGGTGGCACACGCCTTTAATCTCAACATTCGGGAGGCAGAGCCAGGCAGATCTCTGTGAGTTCAAGGCCAGCCTGGTCTACAGAGGGAGATCCAGGACAGGCACCAAAACAACACAGAGAAACCCTGTCTCGAAAAAAAAAAAGAATGTGAAGACTAGTAGTACAGTTTTGTACCACTGCCTTGATCATGTGGAGGTGTTAACAGTGTGTTTCCACCCACTGTTGGTTTTATCTAATTAGTGTAAATGTCAGTAAGTGGAAAGGATACTATTTTGAAAACAGTGTCCATATTGTACATCCTTTGGGAATACTTCCATACCCTATTGGAAACCCGTGAACTATCTTCAGAACCACTCTACCAAGACTGAAGATAGAGCTTGGTGGTAGAGTACTTGCCTCCATCATGCTTGAGGCCCTAGGTTGAGTTCTCAACTGAGAGAGAGAGACTGGTTGACTCTTGTACCACAGTACTTTGGTTGGCTTACTGCACTACACAGAAACTCTGAAGATATATGCAAACATACAGTGGCTGTATTTAAAGTCTTTACTAATTCCCATTATGGGATGAACCATAGTTACAGGTGTTAGGATATAACTTTTGAATCAGCCTCAATACCTACTACCATAGAAAGCTCATATCTCGTTATCATACAAAGTGTGAACTTTATGCAGGACTACTATGCAAGGCTGGTAGTCTTCTAGAAAACCCTTGGATAAAGGACTTTTCTTTTCTTAGGAAAGAGGACACTCAGACATAGTCTGAGAATTTGGTTCCTGTTTTTGTGGCTCAATGAATGACAACAGTGATCCTTTACTTTCCTATTTGGGGTAAATTTTCTGTTAGGATTCTAAGATTTGTGCTTCCAGCTACTTATGTCTAGTTCTATCCGGATGCTGCACAGTTCTTCCTCTTGATATATTCAACCTGCAAACAAACTTCAGTTCTGTGTACATACTTTGAATCATCAGAAAATAACGTAACTCCTCATGAGGGAAGTGTCTTCCTACTCATAATCCATATTTCATCATCATTTTTTAACTATGTAGGCTTACATTGATTGACAGTATTGAGTTTGTGTCCATCTGTTATGTCTTGCTATTCCTTCCTATGTCCTTTTTCCATTATGACCTTCATAGCAAACTCTTCATAGGCCATAATCATTTTAGCACTATAGTATATTTTCTATTCTTCTTCATTGTTACCTACGTAAATCTTAAGAAAAAACAGTATTATTAGGTAAACTGGAAATAACTTTCAAAAAGGTGTTGTCACTTAGAATCCTTCTCATTAAAGCATTTGGACCCCAGCATTTTTGCTAGTTTTGGAAATCAACTATAGGCTAGGCTTGTAGCATTCTAATCCCGGTCTATTAATCAGAGCTCCCTGTTTCTGATTTTTTTCCCCACTGTATACATCAGGCTGGCTTTGACTTGCAGTCCTCCTTCCTCAGTCTCCCAAGTGCAACTCCCAACTACAGGTACTGTCAACATAAGGTGATCAAAATCAAAACAGGGTGCCTAAAAATAGACCAGGCATTTAAAAACTGACTGCAGCAAATACTTCGTGTTTTCTTTGTTGTTTGCCACCAAAATGTGTATCCTTGAGCACAGTGCTGTTTTGTTTTTGAAATGCATATGAATGAAGCTGTATACTATGGATTATTTTGTATCTGACATTTCAGTCAGTTTTATGTGTATAAGACTTAATCCATGACATGTTTAGTTGTGAGTCAGCTCTCTCTTGTTGCTGTATCCTGTTTGAGAATGTACATACCACAGTTAATTCAGTGTACTGTTTATGGGCAGTAGAGTTTTGTTTAGGGGAATGGGTAACATGCACTCATTTTTTGTTAGGGTAATATATAAGGGTTGGATCATGAGATATATCTTTAACATTTTCCAAAATGACTGAACTCTCATTAGCAATATACAGGAATTTCTGAATGGTTCATCACCTCCCCAGCACTAGTATTGTCACGTACTTTACTTTTAGCCATTATAATATACATGCCACTTCTTAAATTTGGAGTTCTGTCCTGTGACTCTAATGTGCACAAGTAGGTTCAGTTCAGCCTTCAGATGCCTTGTTTTGTGAGCATGCTAAATATGCTTTTCTATACTTGGGTTGTTTATCTTTTTTCTAATTCTTTCTGAATTCTGCCTATAATCCTTTGATCAGTTATTTCCATTGCAAGTATTTCATTTTTATGGTTTGATTTTCTTTTTCTTTTTTTCTTTTACTCTCTTAAAAATGATTTTCTGAGCTGATGGTGGTGGCACACACCTTTAATCCCAGCACTAGGGAGGCAGAGGCAGATGGATCTCATGAGTTTGAGACCAGTCTGGTCTACAGAGTGAGTTCCAGGACAGCCAGGGCTACACAGAGAAACTCTGTCTCAAAAACAAACACACAAAGTGTTTTTCAAGCCAGGCATGGTGTCACATGTAAGTAATCCCAGCACTTAGGAGGTAGAGGTAGGATGATCACCAGGTGAAGCCCAGTCCTGCTTTCATAACATTCATAACAAAAAATAAAAAATAAATAAATTGTCTTGATGGATAAAGGTTAATTTTAGTGTAATCTAGTTTTATTAGTACTTTGGGGTATGTTTAAGAATTTTTCTTAGTAAGGTTGTAATCATCTTCTCAAAGCTTCGTTATTTTATCTGTATATCTAGTCTGTTTTTAGTTACCTCATTTTGCCGATCATATTGACAGTACTACTACTTTTCTTAATCTGGCTTTTTTGTATTGTGTCATGTATATGAGGAATGGGTATGTTACCCATGTGTATGGAAGTCAGAGGACTTTGGGAAGTCCATTCTCTCATTGTACCTTGTTTTGAGGCAAGGTCTTTCCTGTTTCTGTCATGCTGATTACTCCAGACTAGCTTCCCAAAAATTCTGTCTCTGCCTCTTACCTCACCATAGAAATGCTGGGATTCTTGATGCAAGCCACTGCATCGGCTTTTTAATGTGGGTTTAGGGAATCAAATTCAAGCTGTCAACCTTGTATAGCGAGTGATTTTGCCCACTGAGCCACTTCACTGGCCCATTTACCTCAGCCTTCTAGTGAACTGGTTCAACAGTTTGGGCTATTTGTGACTCATTTTGTCATATAAAGTATGAAGTCACCTGCACAAAACACCTGGCGTTTGTTTTTTTTTTTTTTTTGAGATGACACTACATATGTAAG